AGGATCCCCCTGCTTCTTGTTGTTTTTTATAATTATTCTACAGATTACTTAGTCATTGATAGCTTTCCTGTGTAATTTGTAGTAGTAAATTCTTTCACTTTTTAATGTAAACTATAAATATTCTTGATTATTATTATAGTTATTGTCTGTATTCTACAGTTTCTCACTATATGTCCATACTAAGCATGACATTGGTGCTGATTTTGATTTTTTTTTTTCATTATTTTATTAGCAAGAAACATCTAAAAGTAATGAAAATGATTAAATTATTGATCCTGAAATGGTAATCATTATAATAAGTTCCTAATTAAGAGTACGTATTTCAATATTTCCGGCGAGAGAAAGAGGTTGAAGACGAAGCCGGAGACGGCACAAGAGATGAAGTATAAGAGGAAGCAGGTGAACCAGTTATAAACTCGGGAGTTACCTAAAACAAGAAATGAAAACCAGTCAGACCAGTTTGACAAGATATTACCGGAGCACTCTCCTCATTATCAGATTCTATAATCAACGGTACCCTCTCATGTTTCTTAGGACGTCCCTTACGAGACCTTCTGGCCTAATGAGGGGCGTGGCATATTAATTAATGTGGGTGTGGCTTACTTTACTACTACTACTAGTGCTTCGTGCTACACTGGGAGGTAATGATCCACTGATTGAAGCTCCTCCCCCTGAGGGAGCAGGAGTATTGGACATACTGCTACCACTGTGATGCCTGTTCAATGAAACTACACAAGAGAAAAAAGAATAAAATTTCTGCTTTTCTTTCTTTCATATAGTTTATTGAAGTCCTCTTTCTTTCTTCCTCTCTCTCTCTCTCTCTCTCTCTCTTTTTCACTAACCATCAGATGTATCAGAATTATAGTCATCAACCTACAAATGAAATAAATTTATAATAATAAATCTTTCTTTCTCTCTCTTGTCTCTCCAGCTATTACTTCAACAGATACTTGTCTTTCATCATCACTATCAACTCCTCCATATTCCTCTACATCAAGTTGTGCCTTTGCTTCCATGAATACTCTCTCAAGTTCAATAGAATCAGTATATATCTATAAATAATAATAATAATTACAATAGTTTTTGTTAGTTCTATCATGGGCTATAGTGCTACAGGGTATTTCATGAAAAATGACTAGAAGAGAATTCTACATTTTTATATTTTTTGCTGATGCATATACATGTTCTTATGTTGTGTAGAGAGTTTGAGCTCATTCTGATGAGAATTGGGATTTATTATGAATTTTCAAAGATCCCTTACCTGCGATCCTTCTTCATTATAAGTTCTAGCATTACCACAGAGCAGTATCACATCATCCTCCATGTCAGAGAGACACTGATACTTCTGTTTCATGATCTTATCTTTGATCTTCTTCAAATCGATGGGTTTCTTTATAATCTGATAGTACTCAGGTAGTTCCCTCCTGGTGGGAAGGACCATGAATATTTCACTGATCCTTCGGTTGGTGCTATCCTGATAAGCCACAACTGCTTCCCATAGACTAATTAATAAACGAGTTAACTTTGCTGATACACCAGCAGTAGCTTTCTTCCTCTTTTTACTCTAAAGGTAAAAGAAGAGATTAATTTAGTAGAGTGTAGCCTCTTTATTAAGGACACCATTGGGCCCACACTACCTGTCCTTAATACAGAGGTGTCCTCATTTTAGAGGTACTTTTGTATAGGCTTGTACCAATTGGGACATTACAAAATGTCCTCATTATAAAGGTATCTTCATTATAAAGGCGTCCTTATTATTTTCTTTCTCTACCTTTGTCTCTTCTCCTAGTAATGCAATGTCCTTCCTTTTCCTTTTCTTCCTGTTCTTTTTTGTTTCTTCCACCTCCTCTAGTGTTCCATCTTCCAGTGCCTTCACCCATTGCTTCTCTGTCAGTGCTTCAGAATAATCAACCTCTTTACGCTGTCTCTTGCCTAAGATGTACATTACATAATAAAATATCATACCTCATACATGCATGTGTACTCGTTTAAGTATTACCTAATCCAAAAAGTCGTTCCTCATTTTCTTCAAAAGCCATTTGCTCAACCTCTTCTGTATCCCGTAGCAACCAAGATGGCAACTCGTCCTCTTGAATGAGACGTGGTTTATGACGGAGGCTGGGATCCTGATCAATTAATTAACTATTAATTAATAACTAATATTAATAACTAACCATAGCTTCTCTTGCAGCTCTCTCCAAATCCATCCTCTAATAAAAAAATTTGCCAGATTACCCATTAAAATTTTGCACAAATAAAAATTTACACCAGATTACCTGAAATAATTCCAATTCCTCTTCATTCCTTGCAATCATGTCATTGAGAGCTTCATCATCAGCAACCTCTTGCTCCTCCTAGTAATCATAGTAATAATAATAATAAATATTATAAGCACGCGTTTTGACCACACCTACCTCCTCTGCCTGTTCGTCCTCTAATATGGCGACCAGGAATGCCTTCCTTTCGCTTCCGGTTGATTTCTGATCAAACATTCCAGCTTGAATGACCTTCTCGTCAACGTTCAGTTTATACTTGGCAGCTGCTAGAATCTTCTCTTCAACACTGTTTACTGTACAGAGTCTCAGGACTCGGACTTCATTCTTCTGACCAATACGAT